CCCCCCCCCCCTGCCCACACTACAAGGTAGCAACTTGGGAAACACCTGAATATGTGGTGTGTGGCGCTGCAGATGGGTCTGTGGTGCTACATACCACATGGCTGTGCTCATCTGGACATGGCCATTTAGGAGTAAAATGCCCTTGATTTGCTATGGTTTAAACCACAGGTAGCTGTGGGCTGCCATCAGTGTGCGAACAGCAGTGCAGACATGTTTCTGTTTGGTTTTTGCCTTAACTTTCCTGTCATGAATGACAAGCCCTATTGGCAGTTGGAGTGGCATGGGTGATAAGGTGCATGGTTGACAGCCCAGAGGTCTCAAGTTTGAGGCTGTCAGCCCAGAGGTCGCAAGATCATGGCCATAGCAGAAGCACTCGCACCGTGGCCCTATCAGATTTCAGTAAATCTGCAAATTCTGCTAAATATCTTGTCACAAGGGCACAAGGAAGGAAGGAAAGACAAGCCCTTTGTGAATTAACTTTCTATTTTTATATAATGATCTAGGCAATATATTTGTAGATAAAGTAAATGATTTTCACATGTACAATTACAAGCCTGTGCTTCAATATTGTCACTAGAGCCCACTCATTAATCACAAAGCTTGACTGTTCTCCACAAGATGGAAGTGCGGGCTTTGACCTGTAGTTCTGTAACATCAACAGGAAAAGCTCGAAGTTTTTATAATGTTTAATATCGTAGTAAGACTAACACCAGTTAATTACTTCTTTCCAATGTAGTTTTTCTTTCTCCTATAAAATGATGGTTGCCAACTCCAAGGGCTTAAAATTCATGAGAATCATCTCCTGTTCCCTAATATTTCCTTATCCTTTTTCTTAATAGTCTCCTGCCCATTACATTCCCACAGCGGTGCTATATTATATTACAGCCTTCTTGGCTATCCTTGTCTTTGTCATATCCTCCCATACTTGTCCTAAGTTTCTGTCCTGTTTCCTTTTTGGATTGTCTCATTTCCACTAAGCTCTCTTGTTATCTATCTGACCCTTGTGGGTTACTAGGAGACTGCCATCTCTTGCTCCATCCCTGTCTAGGAAACTTACAGAACTTGTTTATTTTCATTGCATTTTGAATATATGCAAACCAAATAATTATTTAAAGGATGTAATAAACAAAAACAGTGGGTTTGTTGCCTGTTTTACATATTTATGGTCCTCAAGACACCTTTTGGAGTATAGGGCTCTATTTTCATGTCATGTTGTGTTATGTCAAAACAGAGCCCCGTCCTTCACAGTGTCTTGCAGACCATATCCTGTCACGTTATATCATTTGGTGTATCATTCTTCTGGGTGTTTGAAATCTTAGCTCTCATTCGGATTCAGGAGCTTTGCCACTCTGACTAAATTGCCTTTATCTCAAGTGTAACATGTTGGGGTTTAACTATGAATGAATAAAATGATTTTTTGACCGCTTGAAGAAAAATCTCTTGTAAATTGCTTGGCTTTGTCTCTTGCAATGAGATGAGACAAGTTTCAGTAGTTCCCTGAACAGACATAGGCCACAGTCGTGAGACAAGAGTGGGATGTAAAAATGAAGAATGGGAAGAACCCTTTTAGGGAACCTATTTTTTTTCAGGTTGTAAGTTACCCCCTCCCACAAAAAAGTGGTGGGTGGTGTGGAAGCAGGGGTGAGAAGGGAGTACAAGCCACCTTGGCCTAGTAACTCCATTAAACTACATTCTGCATTTGCCCTGTTATTGAACGGCCTTAATTTCTTTCTCTTCAAACAGGAACATGCCCAAGAAAGGAGGGAAAGGTGCTGATAGAGGAAAGGAAGAACATGCACCATGTAAACGAACAAAAATGGAAGCAGGTTGTCCTCCCTCCCCTGTGATATATGACAGCCCAGCCAGTGTCTTTGAAAGCTTAATCTTTCCCATCAAGGAAGAGGAATTCTTTAGGGAGTATTGGGAACAAAAGCCACTGCTTCTTCAGAGAGAAGACCCATCTGTGGTCGCCTACTATCAGTCTCTGTTTCAGCTGACAGATCTGAAAGAGTTGTGCAGCCAGGGTTTATACTATGGCAGAGATGTTAACATCTGCCGGTGTGTGAATGGGAAAAAGAAGGTTTTGAATAAAGATGGCAAAGTGAGCTACCTGCAGCTGAAGAAAGACTTTGATCAGAAGAAGGCAACTATCCAGTTTCACCAGCCTCAGAGATTTAAGGTTAGATCAACTGTGGGCTATAGTTGCAGCTCATGTACTGCTTCTTAACACATTATTTTTTGTCATACAAATACTACATAATGTGGGGATTGTCTTTATTTCTCTGTCTTATTGGACATGTGGTTACATCCTTCCTAAAGAAGTTAGAGGGGGAAAAGCCAGTTGCTTGTGACTCTGCCTAAGCTCTAGGTCAGGGGTTGTCAACCGGGGGTATGTGAAAAGGTGCTAGGGGGTACGCATGGGCGGGCAGGGATGGAGCACTGCCACCCACCACCCCGTGCCACCGCCTTCTGGGAGAAGAACTGGCGGGGTGGGGATGGGGTGAGGGTCACCAACCTGTGCTGCTGCTGCCATATGCAAGCCCCCCCTGCTCTGTGTCTGGCCATCCCACCCCACTCTGCCAGAAGTGTACCTAGAGGTGGTACACTCCTTAAAAGTTTGAAAACCTGTGGTCTAGGAATTAAAACTCTGCTTTAGACTTGGCCGAGGATGTCTTTCATTGCAATACAGCAAGAGACATGTCTGAAAATGGAGCCGTGTTTCAAGATTAGGACTCCTCCTTAAAGGTGTGCTCTATTGTACCTTTAAAAAGAGAGAACCTCACACAGCTGATTATTACCCACTCTGTTTTTTGGTTACCCAGCCACCTTATCTTGTTCTGTTTCTCTGCATAGCTGCAGGTTTTAATACTGGTTCTTCAGGGGCCAGAGAACGTGTGAAACTGAATAAGATGTTTCCAGTACAGTTCACCTTCGTACAAACAAAAAATACCAGTATTGACTTACAATCTATCTAGTAACATACCATCCACTTCAGCAGCTATTCTCCCTTTTTTCTCTTTCTTTTTTTGTCACTGCACATGGATTTAATTAGTAGCTCAGAGAGCAAGATTGTGGTGTCTATGTGCAATTCTATACAAGGATGAAATTCCAATAGCAACCTAGATTGGGTACTGTGTCCAGTTGTATAAGTTTAACATTATAGTTGTCACTTGGGAATTACGCTACGTCTGAGGCACGATAGTATCATCTGACTTTTGCTGTGGTTCTGGTGCTCTGTCTTATGTCTTGGAAGTTGCAGCTGGAATATGGTATGGTGTATGCTGAAGTCTAGTGCGCTAGTAGAATCCTCACGAACCCTGGCTGATAGTACTTCCTTGCTTGTCTGCTACCTGTAGAGAAGGAGGCATCCTCTGTTTCAGGGTATTTATTGACTTTAGACCCAGACATGGATATTTCTTAAGCCTGTCACATACTTTAGTGATAGGTGAGGGCAACACATTCTAGAAGCTGCTTATACTTTTTAAAATAAAATGAATGCATGCACACATGCAATTTGGGCGAAAAAATAAACTCTGGCGCAGTTTGTCCTGGAGTTTATTTCTCTTAGGTGGAGTGTTTACATGTGCATCTGAGACCATAGCATATTGAGCCATGGCAAAGCAGCCCTGGGCTGGCAGGGGGTCCTGGGGTCAGATTGGGTTCTTGGTGGCACTGTCAGTCAGTGGAGGAGCTGGCTGGGGCGTGAGGGTGCTACAGTATGGGGGTAGCTGGCAGGCAGTCCCTGTACTTGTAGGACCCTCGTGCCCCAGCCAGCTCCTCCACTGTAAATTAGTCAACTCCGCAGTAAAGCACGTGTGTAGATGTACCCAGTGAGTATTTAAAAGGAACATGGTCAGTAATGAGAACATCGAATTTTGGGAGAAAAATATAACACTAAACTCAGCAGTACTGAGGCCTATGGAATGTGAACTGAATATTTGTACATTGTGGCTTACACAGATTCAGGGCAGGCCTAAAGGTGTAACCTTGCTGAATGAGGTAGCGGGAACATATGACTGCAATGGAGGGGATCTGGGGAAGGAAGGCAACAGCCCCAGGAGGACTGTTGACCAGTGAGTGCACTGCAGATGGCTGGCTCTGAAAATGTGAGTCTTTGCTAAGTGAATTAAAAGGCTTGAGTTAAAACTGTCAAAAACTTCTTTCAGGACACATACAACTTTTAACTGCTTTAAAAAGGTAAGATAGGCACTAGTCAGGAGCAGCTATCTACTGTTATGATGTAATTGTTACAGCTTCATGCTCTTCTGGTGATGCAAGTTATCTGAGTCACCATACCTTTGACCTTGTGTCAGGGCCAAAGTTACAACTGAGTTTACTATGCTACAAAGCATGAAAATGTAACTGTCATATTGTAACAGCATATGGGTGTTATCATTTGATACCAATATACTTGTTACATCTTTCTGCATGTTTAGATGTTCAAGAGCTCCAGTCCCATTGAGTTGAGTACCTTGTCAAATCATGGCCTTTGTTGCTTTGCTTCAAAAACAACAGATTGGAACAAGGCACTTTTGGTGACAATATTTCCATTTTTTGTTGATATTTTTAAATACCTGGACTTGCTCTGTAAGAGGTTGAGAAACAAAATTAATGCTTTAGTGAAAAGGTTTACAAAGTATTATTTGGGTTGAAATATTAAAAGATGGAAAAATGTGAGTAGGTCAAGTTAGAAGTAACAGCAGACGCAATTCCTTTACGTGGACAAGTCATAAGGTGCAGCATTGTCTTGGCAGTGAGCTGTATTAGCATAGCTGAATCACCATATGTGTTTAACATACAAACTTCACAGTTTGTCTCTATCTTTAAAGGATTATGAGGGAAGGGTTGGTGCCGTGACTTGATACTTCACTATAAAACAAGAAATTTGATAAGGAAGCAATAATATTAGTATTCAATATCTTTCATAGAGTGTATCAGTTGCTTTGCATGTCTGAACTTTTATGCTGTCTTTCCACCTGTTCAAGTTTTGTTTTAGAAGCTAAAATGCATCTTTTGTATCTGAACAGGGGAGTAATTCTTGAATAGCTAATAGCAGATGCTAGAATTTCTAGCCTCAAATGTCTCTAAATTCATACATCAGGTAAACAGCAAATATCTAGATATAAATGCTAGGAAAGGTCAGGGATACATATTTACTGGAGAGAGAGAGTTTAGTTCACTGTTGTTCTTCCACTGATCACACAGTTCCATTCTCAAATGAATTTCCTAAATGTGTTTTTGTAGCTTGACTTATCATATACATGGCATCATCCGTAATGGAACTGTGCCCTTTAACTTCCTCTGATTCTATGCTATTCAGCCACTGTACATGTTTATTGCCTTAAGATATATCACTATTTACAGATTGATTCTGGTTTCCTTTTTCATTCTTCTTAACCTTATTGACCTGTATCCTTCATTCTCCCTAGAAGTCTCCCCATCCCCAGCAGCACATGGGAAGCTGGCTTCAGCTGCATTCCACTTTTCCTGGCCAGTGCCGACCCGGCTGGGCCCGTCCCATCTGGAGCCGACTTCCCATGTGCTGTTGGGGGCACCCAGCTGGGTTGGCACTGGCCAGCAGAAGTGGCGGTGGAGCCTTCTGCCTTTTGGGACCAGCTGGTGCAGGTAGGGGGAAAGTGCAGCAGCACGTGGGGAAGCCACCGCTTGATAGGAGACGGGATGGGCTGGCCAGGCCGCACCGGGGAGGGAAAGCTGTGGCTGAGCCCCCTGCGGTTCAGGACGGGAGGGGTCTGACAGCACTGGAGGGTGCTGTGATGGTGAGGGGACTTGGGCCTGGGCTGGCTTCTGCTGTGCCATGGCG